TTTCTCCAGGATGAAATTGAAGCTGCTGCCTCTGCCAACACTTTCCCCCCTCCAGAGACTGTAGGTCCGGCGTTTATAGAAAGACCCTTAAAAGCCAAGACCCCTAATTTGGCAAAATCTTTGTATCTAATTTGCAACAAAACCTCCCAAGCTGGCCAATGTTGATTGAATTTCTTGGAGCAAGTGGTTAATTTGTTTGGTCAGTGTGATGAATTACTGGAGCTCTGTCCCTAAACTCACACAGCTGTGAGGGAACATCAGCCCTGGATGCTTCTGTGTGGCGACAGATTTCCAAATGATTTCTTTTAGGCATGCTGACCACAAGGAAGGGATTATTCCCCCTATAATGCTATGGAAATCTCTGGGCATTTCTTTCTGTTACAATCCTTAAAACTGCAAGATTAACTCCTCTAATGACTAATATTCTATCTGTGTAACAACATGGTGTATAGCCTTTAAAATGAGAACTTAAATCACTTATTCAGAGAATTATGCTACAGAGGTCGATAAACAAATTTATATAATTTATAAAGTTTTTGCGTTCGTCCCTATCAGTATTTATAGGCTTGGAAAAATAAATTTCAAACACATAATCCCCATCGCCTACCCCAAGAATGGTGAGAGCCCGAACGTCTAATGCCGACAGTAAACACACAGATAAGTAAATAAATAGTTATCTGGAGGTTTTTGTGGGTCACAAGTCATTCCTCTCCATCTCTTTACAAAGCAAGGCGTATTTCATGCCCTGGCCCAGATAGGAAGGGTGAAAGGAACCATTTCATTTACTCTTATCTGAGAAAGAGAGAGAGAGAGACAGAGGGAGAGGGAGAGAGAGAGAGAGTCTTTTCTGCAGATACCTGTGGTGAGGAGGACGTAGCGCAGTAGGCTTTTTTATAAACCACCGCGCAAAAACTGTGCTTTTATTCAGCGAAGCAGGCAGGAAAGGTTTCAGGAAATAATAATAAAGAGAGGAGGGAGGAATAATGCCTTTTTACAACCATGCACAGCGTTCACAGCGAGCGAGAGAGTGTGTTGAATTTATCCATGTAGGTCACCGGGCTCGTTCTGGCTGTGAGGAATATCTGAAAGTGTGTGTGTGTGAGTGTGTTTGTGTGAGTTTTCTCTTTGCATCTCAGTACCCAGTGAGACGTTACGATCAGGATTTCCAGTAAAATCGCAGGTATCAGTCACAGTAAATCACTGGATTGCTCCTTTTTTAAAAAAAAAAGAAAGTTAATGACACAAACACAGACAAAAAATATAAAACCTGAAGGGTTCAGGGTGAACTCTTGGCCTGCAGGGTGCTGAACTTGAACTGCAAGTCTGAGTCCGGCTGGAGACCTTTGTTTTATGCCATTCCCCATCCGTCTGTTCGTGTCTCTGATCATCTCTTGGCTATAAACTTTCCGTTAAATTCGTAAAATGTCTCAAAGTTCATTAAACAAACAGTGGAGTTCAGCAGTGGTAGAGCGGAATGGTTCCCAGGATCTCCAGTGAATCGAGGCTGTGAGGACAGAGGGCGTAGTAAACTGTACAGATTGTAAAGCCCTTTGAAGCAAATTTGTGATTTTAGGCGATACAACTAAAACTATCAGCAGACTCGCAGGAAGTCAGCAAATTGTCAAAATAACATAGGATAACAAGAATGCTATACTTACTGACTTAACACACTTAAAACAGCAGGCAAGGGACACAGAGAGCTGCGAAAGTGAGCATCTGAATGAAATGTAATGTATTCAGATGTAACCTAAGCAGAGTCCAGGTTGCTCTGACTCCACCATCCATCTCTTGAAGAGCCGTGGCCGCTTGTTTCATCGACACCACACAGTCCAAATAATCTGTGAACCTGTTCACCACCAAGTTGAAACTGTTGAGTTTTCTCACTTTCCAATGATTGATTGTCTTCACAGAGGGATGACCCCGTATCTCACTTGTTGGGGTCCATTTTCATTACTGATGGAATAAAGGAATATTAACACTTATGATATTACTTCAAAAAAACTTACTACCTCATCTTGAAATGCTTTTTATTGCAGGTCAGTGCCACTGTTGGTTTTATTAAAGGGGCACTGAAAAAAAGTGATTAAAATCAAAGCAGTAGAGTCAGAGTTATCCTGACTTTTATTCCCTGTGGGTCAACCTCCACGAACCCTGTATCCTACACTTCCCACAATGCAACTCTACAGCATCTGCATGATTAGACCCTCCAAGCCCGTAAATGCCACATCTGCAGTTTGTGAAGGAGGCTTCTTTCTGTAGTCACCAAACCCAAACTGAGATTACTCTGATGACATTACTCAGGTTATTTTCTTCAGACTTTGAAGAGCTACTACGAGGCTACTGTTTTTACAAGCTGAGCAGAGCTCCCCATGTTGAATAAACTGATTCTGAAGTGTAAAATCAGTGGAAAGCCCCTTTAAAATCTAAAATACTAAAATACATTTTCTTTAATTAAGTGGATTGTTCCTTTAGTCAGACAGGTCTGCTGAGAAACCTGAATGCTTTGGACACGGCTAATGCGATTATATTGTCTTTAAACTTTATCGTGGTTGTTACATTTCATGCCATTTAGTCTTTGAATCTTGGTTCACAGGGGCCATTGCATAAATGGATATGACTCTGTCTGTATATATTGCTGTCTTTTCTTAAGAGCGATTGCTTTTAAAATTGTACTGTCTGCAGCTGCCATCTGCATAATGAAGCTTCTTCTTCTATCTTAAAAGATAAAGTAGTGTGGAAGAGAGTGACCATACACATCAGCCGCTTGGAAATAGCTTTGTTTGATGTCACAGAATGAGACTCTCTAGACTTCACATTTCAGTATTTATCCTCCATGTGTGGACCTATTTATATTTTGGGCTGGAGGAAGGGGTGTGTGTGTGTGTGTGTGTGTGTGTGTGTGTGTGTGTGTGTGTTTTTCTTTATTTTATGCTGATGGTGAACAGAAGAGGAGGACAGGGGGACAGGTTCAGGGGACAGCTTTGTGTTTTAGGGGGTATCCCTACTGGGGTAATGTGTTTAAAATCTATTACCCCCACAGCTAGGATTAGCGAGTGTGAGTGTGTGTGTGTCTGTGTGTGTGTTTCCCCTAAAGACGTAATCACTATGGTAATACAAAAGCCAGTGGATTATGTGGTAGAGAAATTCTGGTTGATTTATACTCTGCCTTTGGTGAGATATATACTGTATATACACATACTGTTGTAGAGAAGGAGACATTTTTGCCACAGAAAGTCGTTATTTCCCTCGTTCTCACTCATACACTCTGTATCTTGGTACTGCTGAGGATACGGGCTGATACAGTGGTTAGCATCAGTTTATGCTGTCGCCTCAAAGCAAGAAGTTCCTGGTTTCTGACCTGGCTCGGCTCACTGGAGCCTTTCATTGTGGGCTTCACATACAGTAGGTGTGAATGCGAATTGTGACAGGCTGCCGTTGGTACGGTGTGTGTTGGTATGGCTCCAGAACAGGGTAATTGAAACTATGGATCCAGACTATATTCCTATAAAAATCATCAACATGCTTGGTTACTTTTCTCCAATTCACATCTATTTTCTGCTTGTTGTTTCTGCTCCATTGTCACTGCTGTTTAAATCTGTCTGCTAAAAAAGGGAAGTTTGTCATGTCATGTGTCTTATGGCTACATTAAAAGAGGACTGAAGGATTTAAACAGGGTGTAACAGTATATAATTTTCAGTTATTAAATTATGACAAGGTTCAAATATTCTATTCTAGTCTTTTCTAGTGTATACCAGTCTTGCTCTCTTTCATTAATTTCCTTTCATACTTTCATCTCTTCATCCCTCAGGGGGAATATTAGTGGTATCTTTAAGTAAGGGGCTGGGGCAAGGCCTTGGTCAATAATTAATTGAAATCCCTTCATTTACTTAAGATCTCAGCGTACTCTGCCCTGGGTGAAAACGGGCAAACTTTGCACTTTGGAATACTCCAACTGGAGCAATTATGCTGAGCAAGACAAATCAGTGGCAGCAAAGAAATCAGATGTATCTGAGATAGGTAATTGACTCCAGCCAGGGACCAGCAGTTGTGTGATACAAACCCAGAAAGTTATGATATTTCTTAACCAAACCTTATAAACAATAATCGCGTGTATGTAAAGCAAACACCAGTAGCTACATAAAAGACATTACTTATTTAAAAACTAGACTTGTAAAAAAAATCACTTTGAGTCTGTGACTCAAGCGAGCCGAGATGCTGATGAGATTTTCAAAAATAAATGATGATAAAATAATCAATACATATTTTTTTACCAGGTGTTGTCCCACTGAAACACAGTAGATGACACAACCACAAAAACCAGATCTTTGTAGAAGCCTTAGTGAGCAGTTGTCCTTTAGGGCGAGAAGAGGTGGTATTTAGCAAAGCTGGACTGTGGATGTTTATCTCCAGACTGGAGTGTAGCCATTGGATAAAAGACCCCGATGACCAGTGATGCAATGTCTGTCCAAACCGCCCTTTGGCAAGGCATTTTACCTCTAGTTGCTCCAGTTGAGCTGTTCAGTAGTTATCAATGGAAGACTGCAGTTGCGCTGAGCAGTGGTGGTGTGTGAATGTGAGATTTGTGTCGAACTCTGATATCACATCTTAGTTTTTTTTTGATAGTAAGATGGTTAAAAATACATCAAATGAAAAACCAGATTATCTGTGGTGGTCAGAAGAATCAATCAACCTAACTTTGATCACGCTGAGCTACCTGCTGTGAAACATTCATGACTCTTTTCTGCCGACTTTCTGTGTTTTTTTTTCCAAAAATTTAATTGGATGAAAGACAAGGCCTTGGACTCTAATGACCCTAAATTAATACATTTTTATCAATGAATTTTTTTGATCACTGGGCACTTTTTATTTTTCATACAAATCGCTAAATTCACAATTGTTTAGTCTTGCATGTGGTCACTCACATTTGAGTTTATCTCTGTTTCTCTGTTTCTCTGTAAACCACTTTATATTTCTACGCCCATCTTTTCTCTCTCTTCTAGGACATGGTGGAGTGAACCAGCTCGGAGGTGTGTTTGTAAACGGCAGGCCCCTCCCTGATGTAGTGCGACAGCGAATAGTAGAACTCGCCCACCAAGGGGTTCGGCCCTGCGACATCTCACGCCAGCTACGAGTCAGCCATGGATGTGTCAGCAAGATACTGGGCAGGTAATAAGCACATGAGCGCCTACGAACCGCGTGGTGACAGTCCTGTAAAACATTCACAGTTGGACCTTTTTAACAAACAGTGTCCAGCAGAGTGTGAGATGGCGTGACCTGACATGTCACGGCTCGGACAGTTGACTAAGGTGTATAAAAATGGTCGTCCTCTTGGTTTGACACCATCCTCTATTGCTGGACAGCTTAAAATGTCTGCGCCAAACATTGCCAACTTCACACATCTGGCTCCTTTTTTTTTGGGGGGGTCGGAAATAAACTCAACATGTGTCAAACTGAGGCTCCTGTGAGGTGACACTGACTCTTTCAGTGTCAATTCTGTCATTTATTCAATTCCCTCAACATGCACGAGCTGCTTTTTTAGTTTTGCCTGCCGTCATTTTCCCCTGCCCCTTATTGCTCTATCTCACTTGTCTCGCTTCGCTCTTTACTCTTTACTTTTTTTTTTTTGCCATTTCACCTTCCTCTCTTCTCTCTGTATCCTGTATTTCTCGTCTGACCCCTCTCAATATTTCTGTGTCTCCACTCACCCCCCTTTTCTCTCTCTCTCTCGCTCTCTCTCTGTCCGTCTCTCCCTCTGCCTTTTCAAAGCTAAATTCAAGAGTAAATCCCTGCTCGTTCCGTCCCCCACAGAAGAAAGGGGGACAAAAGGGAAAAGATTCATCACTTTTTGGAATTAGCATCAAAATGAAAGTGGCACCATATTTCTGCACCCCAAAAAAAAAAAAAAAAAAAAAAAAGGACAGAGGGTGATGGGGAATGGGAGAAAGACAAGACCAAGGAACACAATCAAAAGGGAAAGGCGTGTTCAAGAAAGAAGAAGAGTGCAGGAAAAAGAAAAAACGAATGAGAGACAGAGACCATTTGTGGGGACGGAGGGGAAGGATTAGCTACAGCGACCCTCAGCTATATCAAAAAATGTGTAGCTCATTGTTCTCCCTTGCTTCTCTTTCTCTCTCCCTCTTTCTGTCTTTCTCTCTCTATCTCTCTCTCTCTCCCCTGTCCTGGCCGTTCAACTCACTGAAGCGTTACCGTGAGGGGAGGGTGGGGGGTTGGGGGGTGAGGGGTGGTGGGGTGGTGGTGGTGGTTTGGTGGTGGTGGGGGATCGGGATGGAAGGAGGGAGGGTGGGTTGTTTTATCCTCTCCTCTCTGTCTCTTTGGTGCCAGCAGAACAAAAACACCAACTCTACCACCCTGTGTGTATGCGTGTGTGTGTGTGTGTGTGTGTGTGTGTGTGTGTGTGTGTATTGGCTCATCGTTGTGCGGATATCAATAACCACGCTCGTTTATTCACCAATGATTCAGCTGTGAATAATTTAAATAGTTTTCCATTTGAAAATAGATTGTTTTTCCTTTAGCTGTGTTTATACTCCAGCTGTGAATAGTCACAACGTGCAACACAGCCACATATTGCAACATGCACACAAACACACACGCACGCACTTCAAAGAAAGACAAGGAAACGCACATTTACTGGAACACACATCTTCACGGAAGGGATTACTCTACCGTACAGCGGTGGAGGGAGAGAGAGAGAGGGAGAGAGAGAGAGAGAGAGAGAGAGAGAGAGAGCGCAGCAGGTTTAAGACTGACTGACAGCTTGCATCCACACACAGCATCCCCCCCTTTTCTGCAAGCTGAGTAGCGCATTTGCTGTCCTCCCACCCCCTGCCCCCATGCCCCTTCTGCATGCAAATACATTCATGAAATAGCCATGGTGGACACCAAACGCCTGAATCTGTGAGTGTGTGTGTTTGCATTAGTGTTGTGTGTGAAGGTGTGTGTGTATCCATGCCACCCTCTTCTTACCTCTGTGTCACAATGTGAAATTGCCAAAGAAAACAAAAGCCATTCACAGGTCGAGTCAGGCGTTAGAAATATATATTTTTTTCTCTCAGGTGTTTTAGTGTGTTACATTTACACTCAGTCATTTAGCTGACACAGGTATCTACAGCAGATTGTGACGACTTCAACGTTACAACTAACTTCTGCTTGCTGTAATCACTCCTCCTTGCCTTGAAGGGATTCCTTGTGAAAGTAGGAAGTAGATAACAAAATCAACTGTCCGAAGTCCAAAGTTTTAGTCTTATGTTTCCTTGCTGAGATTCAGCGGAGGGACAGATGGAATTTCATACTAAAAAGACTGTGGCTTTGTAACATATCCACTAGATTTGTCTGACTCAGATTCATATTAACTTTTTTGCACAGAACAACAAGGAGTTTTTTCGTCCCATTACTTCATTTTTCTTTGAATAAAAGACACAAGACAAGAGGATCATCTTTTACAAGATCAAGTGCGGGTGAAGGAGAAGGGCAAGGAACAGGCCAGTGGGACTTGAAGCATGTTTTGAAGAAGAGTTTTGCATTTAAGCCAGAAAGAAGTCGTGACTGCAGAGGAAAGGTCACTCATCCACCTCTAGAGCCAGGAGGGAAAACAGTAGAGACTGAGTGGAACAATGTCCAAATCACCACCAGGAGGGGGGGAACTAAAGGGCCAGTAAAAATACAGAAAGGTGTATTTAAAAAAAAAAAGTCCAGTTTGTATTTGCTGAGATCAGCAATGAAGCAAAACTCAACATAACATACACACAAACATAATTAACTGAGAGCTTTGATGCTGCCAATGAAGTGATGATGTGATTTCAGCAGTGGTGTATTTCAGCTTTAAGAGGTAAAGATGGAGGAATAATCAAACTGCACAAAAGTGTCTCACATCTCCATTTTAAAGGATAAAGCTGGTGACATTTCAAAAGATCGAGGAGTTTGAGTCGATCCCACATGAACCGTCCTGCTGCTGTAAATACTCCCCACAGCACCAAATGTGGATTCATCCACGGTTGAAAATAGACCCCTACAAATACATTACTCATGTTTAATTAATATTTACTGAAGTTACAGTGCCTGGCTATTCTGTGTACACTTGGCTTATTTCTTTTTATTTGTCTTGGAAACTATTCTTTTGTGACCATTTTCATAGATTTATATCTTCAGTTGGAACAAGTGCTCTTTGGACTGAGTGCCACAGACAGGATAAGGAAGTTGGAAAATACTGACAGACAAATAAATGCATGGTTAGTTTTGGGGAGTGGTGACTGTAAAAAAGTATATATTGACATTATGTAGTTTGAAAATCATCAAATCTGAACCTGTTCAGATTCTTATTGAGGAGGGGTTTGACCATTTTCCACAGTCACCTGCATCAGTAAATATTGTTATAACAAGAGCATCAATGTCAGATCAGCTGATCAGGTCACACAGTTATGAATGTATAAACTCCAACCTGATTAAACTACTAGTGATTATTCTTACATGGTTTTATTCCAATTTGAATCTATCAGATGTCAGATTTTTAATTTCAAGATAATAATTTCACCGGTTTAAAACACCCCATGGGACTGGAAGCGATTCAGAATTAAAATTACAGAAACAAGTTTGGATTTACAGGTTTAACCTTGCTGCAGCTTTTATTTTACACTTCTTCTAGTATTACCACAACCTTCTTGTGCTACTTCCTATGACCAACATGAGCATCTTCCATGATTTGATTGGCAGGTACTATGAAACGGGCAGTATCCGCCCCGGGGTAATCGGGGGATCCAAACCAAAGGTTGCTACACCCAAAGTGGTCGACAAGATCGCCGATTACAAACGCCAAAACCCCACCATGTTTGCCTGGGAGATCCGGGACAGGCTCCTGGCCGAGAGAGTGTGTGACAACGACAGTGTCCCCAGCGTCAGCTCCATCAACAGGTACTACAGTCTGTGTAATCTGTGTGTGTGTGTGTGTTTTAGTATCAACTTATAGCAACAGGTACTGAGTGTAGGTAGAGCACAGAAGGATATAATACTGTGTTTCATGTATGTGTGTGTGTGTGTGTGCGTGTGTGTGTGTGTGTGTGTGTGTGTGTGTGTTTGTGTGACTGGGAGTGGAAAAGAGAATAGCAAAGAGGCCCCAGTCTCCATATGTATGAAGTGGCTGCAGCTCAGTGGTTCAACACGATGGTACAATGACAACCCTTTCCCCTGAGCATAGAAGCAGAGAGAGAGGGAGGGATAGTGAAATAAGAGAGAGAAGGAGTGAGCAAAAGAGGCAGACAAAAGAGAAGGAAGGTGTGCAAGAGTAAGGAAAGAAATAGACACAAAAGGAAAGGAAAGAAAGGGGAAGGAAGGAAAGGAGAGAAGAAGAGAGGAAAAAGGGGAGGAAAGGAAAAGAAAGGGAAGGAAAGAGGAAAAAAAAGGCTTGCATGAGCAGCCAAGCAGGAAGTGTGAGGCCCCTCTGCCATGTCAGCCTGCCTCAGCCACTTCACACACATACACACACACACACACACACACACACACACACACACACACACACACACACACAGTTTTGCACTCCCACGATGGTCATGTTCTCTCTGTCACTCAGAATCCACTCTCTCTCTCTCTCTCTCGCTCTCTCTCTCTCTCTCTCTCTCTCTCTCTCTCTCTTTCACACACACAAACACACACACACGATCACACGATCATTTCACACACACTCTAATATCTCCTCTCTCCTCCTGCAGGATCATTCGGACTAAGGTTCAGCAGCAGCCGGGCCAAACGGGCTCAGTGTCGGCTCACAATTTAGGTAGGTCGCTGCTATAAAATCCTGTTTGAAACTGTCAAAGCAAATTTTACAGAGGAGACGTTTTTGTGCGAGTCTCTCAGGAGTGGAGACTGTGTGCTGTATTTGGAATAAGACAACGAGACCTATTGAAATTCTAAGACCTTAACTTAAAGCAAAAGCCTGCGTGGACACAATGTGAAATGTTGTGTGCCACAAAGTTCATCGCTTGAATGCTTTAATTAACATGTTTCAAAATTCAAGCCAGTTAATGGGATTTAGGATTTTTTTTTAAGTCCATTTTCCATTTTTACTTAATAACGACATTTGTATTTTTTTTATTTTTTTTTTACCAGGGTTATTGGTAAACTCAGGTGTGTGTGATGTCTGGAGTTAATAAATGTCTACCTCTAATGAGCATCTTTCAACCTTATCGTTGCATGTACAGTGAACAGCTGACATGCAACAAAGGCATCAAGCCAAACTCAAACTGGGGACATTGCAGTTACATGGTCAGCGTCTTAAACCTGTACACCACCAACACACCCCACAAGTTCCAAAACCTTTAGTACGACAGCGCTCTGATGAAATGATTTATTTAGCAGCAATGTTTCAATGGGATGTCCGTCCCCGGTCTCAAACAGTGTTGCACACACAGATGTGTTTTCCGACATAATGATGTGCAATAATGTAGCCAAAGGGGGAGACACCATATCCAAAACAACAATAATCAATATGAAGATTGTTGCAGGAGTTCAGAGCATCAGTGCACATCATCCTAAACACAATTCTCATATCACAAAAAAAAAAAACAGTCAGGGCGGAAACTTAATTCATGAAAGAAAGTGTTACAGTAATGGATCCAGTCTTTTCGTAATAAGCTTTTTCACAATTCCCTCCCAATGAAACAACATAACATCCACAAAACAAAGCTAATTAACACAACTATTATGAGTACTGAAATGTCTGTGTCATTGGAGATCATGACTATGAATGTCCACAAATTCTGGCAAAGTGGGCAACTGCCCCAGGGCCCCCACAGGCTTCAAAATCTTCCATATGTATTGTACGTCAGTTGGCTTGTGGTAATTTGATTAACTATAAATTTGTTTTTGAATATATGCCACTAAACCACTTACGGTACACTACAACTCCTGCATTTTAACTGGTCCAGTCTTTAATAGAAGCTCTATGCCAAAACTTACAGGCTGCATATTCCTAAATTAACCAGGGACTTGTGCCCCTCTTGTGGGGTATTTCAGCAATGTTTTTGTTTTGCCGATGTAAAATAGATTGCGAGGAAATTTGAGTAAATAAGCAACAATAGCAGTGTTATGTGTGATTTTGCCTTTAGGATGACTGAAATCAATAGTCTTTATGCTAAAGTGACATTGTACAAAATTATCGGTTATAATAATATTCTCATATCCGATCTCAAAAGACCATAAAAAGAGCATCATTATTATCGTGTTTATTAAGTAACACTTTGAACGAAAAGAAAGGGAAAAAAACGAATCTTTGTTCAGACTGACAAGGTTTGGATGTTCATTTGTAATTTATAATCATGTTACAGACTGAGGAAATAATATCTATTACAACTATGACTGGCACATTACTGCTTTTTATTCGATGAATATCTCCAAGTACAAATAGCCTGCATATGAGAGCCGTTCTCTCTCTCCCTCCCTCGCCCCCCTTACTTTGTCCTGCAGTGGATTGTGTTTCGGTGTCTCTCATATCTTCATAATCGCACATTGTCTATTAATCTAAATTAATTTCACACACACTGCTCCCTGACTCCTGCCTTTTACACACATTTAGCAGACACACACATACACACCTAAACCAAGTGAGAAGCACGCACACACACACACACACACACACACACACGCACACACACACACACACACACACACACACACACAGGCACGCACGCACACTTACAGATTACACAGATAAATGGGTCCCACTCCCAGGCGGAAAATTGAACATTTGGATTTGCAGAATAAAAGCGTTACGTTCTGATAAAAAAAAAAAAAAAAAAAAAAAGACTGAAAAGAAAGAGAAAGGAAAATCAGATAATTGAAGTGCTAAATCAAGTGATGGGGAAAAGGAGGGATATGCATTCATTATACTCTCCTTGTCGTTAGCAAAGCAGTAACGGCTGGAAGGGACCTTGATCCTCTGGTTTGTTGTTGTTGTTGTTTTGTTTTTTTTTTTTGTTTTTTTTTTATTTCCCCTTTTCAGTCTTGTCTTTCTGTGTTTGGGGGTCTGCTGGGAGAGAGGATTAGGATGTCTGTCTCCACACCTTTCTGTCCCTCCTGGGATACCATACTGTCACTCAGCCCCACGTCCGCGCACAGGGGCACAGATAAGGGACCAAGGAGGAGTGAGTGACTGTATGTTTCGGTGTATGTGTGTGTATGTGTGTGTAAGGAGGTTGCGGGATCTGTGTGTGTGTGTGTGTGTCGGTGTGTCACTGAAGCGGTGACAAGTATGTCGCTATGTCGCCCAGCGAGGAACTTGTCTCCTCCAGGGGGAAGATTAGAGGGAGAGACAACGAGGAGCAAAATACAGACAGACTTCTGTCCTTTGTGGCTTTTTCTCTGCCTTCAATTTAGTCTGTATAGCCCAGTAAAGTTTTAGAGGATTGAAGCGCATCTATGTTGAGTTTATGAGGAGAATAAATAGGATAGGATTTAAATTGTGTTGCATTCCCTCAGAGGTTTTTGTTCTCTATAGTACCTTTGGTTGTGAAGGCATCACAAAGAGAATCAAGAGATGTGAATGTTGCTCTTCAAGTGAAAGGTACAGAAAAACAGATCTTGGTAGGAAACGGCTCAGAATTTTTCAGAAATAGTTGTGGAAATACAGAGTTTTTCATTTTTTGAACAGCCTTAATTGTATGTGATATCAAAGGACTCAACATTACACATGCAAAAACATTACACATGACTAATTTTGTGTTTCCGAATAGTTCTTTTACTTACAGGTCACATACTGTATGTAGCAGTTGAACTCACCTTTAAAGCTCTCTCTGGCACTCTGTGTCTGTATCTGACACTGAGATGTCTTTATAACATTATATCAGTTCTTTGAGACATTGCATTTAAGGTTTTTAAATAGATCATAATGTAATAGTTCTGCTATGCTCCTATAAAGGTGACATTTTCCATTATACATGAGTCCAACACTAAGTCCTTTTATACCTTTTATATATTTACAGAGACACTCTAGTTTCCTCTAGACAGTTTCTCTCACTTTTTTTTGTTCTTCATATGCTTTTGTGGAGCATTTACAGGCAGCAGAGATCATTCATGTTTCAGTGCAGGAACTCACTGATCTTTTTGCATTTTTGAAATTCTGTGACAGATTCAGAATTTTCCTCAAAGGGCCTCTGAAGAAAACAAACAAAAGAAAAACAGCTTTCAATGATAAAAACAGGAACAATCACCTCTCTCTGTTTTCACTTGATCTGTCTGCAGCGACGTCCGTGGCGGCCACACAGGTCTCAGCAGTGACCAGCGACTCGGCCGGCTCCTCGTACTCCATCAGTGGCATTCTGGGTATCAGTTCAGCTGCTGATGTAGGCAAGAGGAAGAGGGATGAAGGTGAGCACAAGAATGTATTTTTGTGTCTGACTGCTCTTGTATCTCCTTGCACATCATTGTATTTTTCAGTGTAAATGGTGTGTTTCCAAATATGCAGTTTCTATGTCCACATAAATACACAACATACATAATGACGGACAGCCTCAGGATCCACTCCTCTCCACACCAGCATTGAAAGCCAAGATTGAAAGAACTCAGCACATGAGGATCAATGACAGATGTGTGTGTGTGTGTGTGTGTGTGTGTGTGTGTGTATGCATGTGTAATATGGGAGCTCTAAACCAAACGTCTTCATTCAGAAACCCCTATCTATTAACTAACAGTGCTTCACAGGAGAGCACCCTGAGAAGTTAGTTTTATGCATGCACTATTGATCATATACGCTGTCATACTGGATCAATGTTTTATGCATGTTAATGGAGGTGTGAGCATGTCCATGTGTGTACACATAAGGGGGTTCTCACAAGAACAGTTTGTATATGTTTGTGTATGTGCATACATGTGTGCATGATGAGATTGTATGAGTGTGTATGTGGCAGTGTCAGTGGCATTAAAAAGCCATCACACAGACAGTCTCCTACGGTAAATGAGACAGGACCAGATGTCGGAGCAAGAGGGGGGGGTGACAGAACGCCACTAGGGGCTATTTCTCGCTCTTTTTCGCACTCTCTCGCACAGATTCACACTCACACACACACACACACACACACACACACACACACACACACACACACACACACACGGATACAGTATGGGGTCCTTTTCCCACTGCTGATGAATTTCCAAAACATTCCAGCAGGTTCCAGGATGATTCCCGGGTGTACCTTGAGTGTTCTGATATGCTCGGATACGGCCCACTTACCCATCAGCAGAGCACAAAGACTTTAGACCCAACACATACACACACACACACACACACACACACACACACACACACACACACACACACGCCCACCTTTACGTGAGATATAAAGTGCTTAACACGCATTCTCAATTTGCGCCAAAAAGGAGAAGTGCTGAAAATATAAAACAAATAAAAAACAGTTTTTAGTTTTAAAATGGAAAAATTGGTGTATCAACAAAAAACAAAATGCAACAAAAAGCAATGGAAACAAACTTTGTAGAAAATTCCTGACATATATGAGGCAAGTGACTTAATACTGACCTACAGTTGTCCTTTTCACAGCAGACTTTGTATAGGATGAAAAGCACAGGTGTAACATTAATTACGGCTCTGTTTCTTCAAGGTGTTCTTGTTGCCGGGCGCTGCTATCATGCCTGCTCATTCACTGACATGACTTAACAGGATTATTAGTTACAGCTGTGTTTTTCCTGCTGTAACAGGTCAAAATGTCTGCTGTGAAATTTAGGGTTTCCTATGAAGCTATATTTCACTGACAATAATAACAGGACTCATGTATGATAAATGTATCCCTCTCTGTTATGTCTGTGCCAGAGACTTTGTGGTCAGATCTGTAGTTAAAGTAGAAGCTCTGTAATCTAATTAGCAGCATTATTACTTCACTTTGTTTCTTTATGTGCGTGACGTGCTGCGCCATGTGCTGCTACATGTGTGGTCTGTTTCAGTTTTACAATGTCTGGACTTTGTGTTTCGCAATTCGTATCGAAAACATTGTATCACTTCACGTTTCACTGGAGCATCCAGGAAGTGTCATTTGAGCATCGTGTCGCTCCGCGTCACGTTCCTGCTTGTGTGTTTTATCTGCAGTGTTTCTGTGGCAGAGGTCTGCGCGGTTGGCTCTGTGGTCTAATTAACAGCATTGCTAATCACAGCTTCCATTAGAGCAGCCCCCGCTGGATAATGACACACACACACAGCAAGGGGCGACAGGGGGAACAGCATGCACTGACATGGACAGACAAACACATACACAAACACACAATAACGCAAGCTTCTCTCAGACACACTCACATATGCTTGACTGTGTGGACATTTGTAGACACACAGAGGGAGAAAGACATCACACACGCGAGGCCAACAATCATACAAGTCTTCTCTTGTTGACTTTGTTGTTATATCTATCTCTCTGTGCAGCTGAATATGTTACATATACAGTAATGAGACAGTCACAGCGAACCTCAAGGTCTTTCATGTACGTCAGCGCATCAGACAAGAATCAAACCTTGATCTTCCATGTATGAAGCAAAGAATTTAAAAGCCTAATAAAAGGAGGTGAACAATGGTTTTATTTCCCCCTAAAGTCGGTACTCCAGTGGTAGAAAAAAAGGTAAAATAATCACCTCATGTATTTCTTTAAATTGATTTTGTTGAATTTTATTACGGACTAATGGATTGAGGTGTTAGGGCATGAAGACATGAAATGATTCTTTTGCATTTGAGCGCTACCTTTTTCTTGACTTTGTTTTGGTTTGTTCCTGGATGAATAAAGGACCCTGGTTCAAGCCACAAACAAACTTCCTGCTGAAGTGCCGTTGAGCAAGCTACACAGATGTTGGTGTTATTTGTATTCTTATATTGTTTGTTTGAGGTGTACCTCCTGGACGGATTCTTTTATTGTCTCATACGGTATCGTATCGTATCGTATCGTATCGTATCGTATCGTATCGTACCGTACCGTATCGTATCGTATCGTATCGTATCGTATCGTATCATATCTTATCATGCTACAGGAACCTTCTATATTTCCCCTGTAATTTATAAGCATAGAAACGGCAGCTGTGCAAGTGATGGGAACACAGAACGGCGGGATCAGTAGCATGTGTGTGTTTGTGTGTATATCGGCAGCAGGAGTGTGTGAGGGTAAAGCTCTGTGGTGACCTGTGCCCCCAGCAAAAGAGAGGGGAAGTGGGGGTTTGACCGGGGACAGAATGTAGATGAATGGTAGTGAATGGAAGAACTTGACTTGTGGGGCCAAAAGGGGACTATTGTATCTTAACCTATTCTCTTACACACAGTGTGTGTGTGTGTGTGTGTGTGTGTGTGCATGCAGCATGGATATGGAGGGCAGAACAGGTGGTGCCAGTTATTGAAGGGAATGTTTCTTTTCTTCAAACTTGAGTGAAAAGTATTCTCAGTACGTTTGAAGAAAAACCATATATATTGGTCGTTCAGAACCTGCTTTCACACGAAGAAGAAATAGTGTCAATGGCATTTACCCAGAATGCCAAGTTGACCTCTCACCTCCTTGTGCATCCACTGTGACATGCAGCAGCTTACTAGATAAAAGACGCCGGCAGTAAGGAAGAGATGGAGGATGGAGGAGAAGAGGGAGGGGAGCGCCGCTCTTCACCCTGAGTTCCTCTCAGTGCCTCTCGCCCCTGAAAACTTTGATCTCTGAAGTTAAGATGGGACACACACACACACACACACACACACACACACACACACACACACTCTCTCTCTCTCTCTCTCTCTCTCTCTCTCTCTCTCTCTCACTTTCTCTCACTCACACACAGACAAAAAATGCATGCACAGGCTGTGACTGTGAGGTCAGACTTGTAAACCTTGTTCTATCAGTATGATAATAGATGTCAAGTGCAAAATGATGCACATTGCTGGTGTTCTACACACACACACACACACACACACACACACACACACACACACACACACACACAAACACAGAACATGCACTGACACTAACAAACAGGTGACAACCCATCTAACTCTCAGAGGTATTTGGATTTAATAATTCAACTGTTCGTGGGTTGTCGAAAAATGGCAACGGCAGGTCGAGTCAGAGGGAGACGGTGATTGAGAGAGAGAGAGAGAGAACCAAGAGGTAGGGAGAGAGAGAGTGAGTGAGCAAAAGAGAGAGACAGAGAAGGCGGAAGAGAGAGGAAAAAGGCAGAAAGGAGAGAACAATAAGGGCTCATTGTTTGTTTTGTTCTGCTCTGAAAAAGAGGGAAGAGAAGCGCTTCCCTTCTGAGACTGACTCACAGAGATAGAGGCAGCTGTGAGTGTGTGCGTGTGTGTGTATGTGTGTGTGTGTGTGTGTGTGTGTGTGTGTGTGTGTATCCGACAGTGAATAGGATTTAACCCGTCACGGCAATGAGTTTCTTTACCCATCCATTGATACAATGAGACCAGCCGGATATCAAGCTACCCACCCACCCACACCCACATCCACACCAAGACACACAAGTACAAGCACACAAACACACACACACACACACACACACACACACACACACACACACACACACACACACACACACACACACACACACACGCACACACATCTACACACATTCATACAGATGAATGGACAATATTGATTATCATAGGTAAAAGCTTTGTTCTTACTGTTCGATTACAGTAGGTTCTGTCTTTTGCTCTTTCTTCCTCTGGTTTTTTGTGGGCTCTCTGTCAGCTTTGGTCAGTCTTTCAGAGTGTGTGTGTGTGTGTGTGTGCGTGCGTGTGTGTGTGCGCGACAGAGAGAAAGCAGAAAGCAATAAGCTGGCTGAAATGGTGCCATCAGAGCTACATGATTGATCAATTGAATTCCATCATGGGGACTGGCCGGTGGGATTAAATGGGTCGCCGTGGGTTACCAGGCTAAAGCATCATACTGGCTTTATCTCCCCCTTGATTGGTCTGTCACCAGAGACCTGGACCATACACTCACACTGCTCCCAGCATCTGTATATGAGTGTGTGTGTGTGTGTGTGTGTGTGTGTGTGTGTGTGTGTGAGAGACTGTAGAAGTAGAACTGAGATTATGATCAAGCAGTGTGTTTGTAAGAGAGTGGGTGAAAGAGGTTTTGTGTACTGAAAAGGTATGGCGAGGTGTTGTGAGGTACGCAGTGTGAAGGTTTTTTTTTTCCCCTAGCAGCTGGATACGGTCTCATGATTTGAAGTTTACTCGCGGTCTTTGTGTGTGTGCCAGGCCTACATTTATCATTATATAAAGTTACCAAATTTCATTTCACACAGACATCACCTTTAAGAGGTTACCACTCAAGCTAGGATAATACAGTTTGTAACCAGTTTCAGTAGTATTCGAATGTGTGACCGAACCGTTGGCTGTCATGTTGCATTATGGGTAATGTAGATGCCAGGTGGAGCACTGGTCAGAGAAAGATCGTGGTGACATATAATAAAAAGCCAAATATTATTTTAATTCCATAATGGGAATGACCCTAACATTCTGCTCGCTAAACGAACAGGAAAATGACCTCATACGGTGGCATTGATCGTTAGCATTGAATGATAACCTTGAGGTGAGGAATCGCCCAGGATCGACATAATTCGTAGCGTTCCCAGATCTCAGCAATTACTTTGGAACGTACAGTGCTGTCATTACCGAGAGAAGTGCTGGCCGAAAGCATGAAAATAAGACCTGATCAGTCCCAATCAGACCTTATCAGTGTGGCACAATAGATATCTTCTATCTTCTATTCTTTCTTTCTTTCTTTCTTTCTTTCTTTCTTTCTTTCTTTCTTTCTTTCTTTCTTTCTTTCTTTCATTTTTTTCTTTCTTTCATTTTTTTCTTGTTACACCATTCTTTGTTTTTTTCTTCAGGACCACAGTCTGGCACAAATGGATCTGTATTCTCAGTCCAAATGGAAAAAAAAAAAAAAATATTTGAAGCCCCTTCCCCCTCTCCACCTGTCCGTCATATCACTACCCTAGCCGCCGGACACACACTCACACACATACACACACACTTGCAGACACACCAAACGCACAGTGACCCCCAGGACTAAAATAGGCTCTCAGGAGCGGTTTGGAGCGATGAATTGGCTGTATAGCGGGGGATTTTCACCCTCATCCCCTTTTTCTCTTTATCTTTTTCTCTCGTTCTCTCTTTTCTAATCATTTGTGGGCCGCGACTCTTCAGAGTTCTTATAATTGTCTCGTTCAGTCCCTCAGCCTTGCAATAACTGCAGGATACGAGAGCTCACAGTCTAATACTGATACCACAGCAATATATATTTGTGTGTCTGTGTGTGTATGGGTGATACGACAAGGGAGACGGAGAAGCGCGCATATATGAGAGGCGAGAATGTACTTTTGAGAGATCAAGAAGGAGAGACAGCGTATGCTTGGTAATGGATTGCATTTGTATAGCATTTTCTCTGAGTCTCCACAATCTATGAAGTCACTTGGTCCTAAATGAGCTCACTGGAGTTCATTTGAGTCTATTCTTCACTCTAACTTCTCTCTCCACATCTGCCTCAGTCATTTATTTTATCAACGCATGTCTTTACTCCTCCCTTCAATCCTTTATCGCCGTCTCCTCTCTGGTTTCTTCCTCTGTCACACACTCCAGACTAACAAACACCTCTTTAAACCTCTGATTTCTCCCTTAAACATCCTCTGTTTACAGCCCCTCTAACCCCACTCCTTCCCCCCTGTGTTCTCTGTGTAGGCTTGCAGGAGTCACCGCTGGCCAACGGGCATGGCCACAGTGGGCGGGACTTCCTCAGGAAGCAGATGAGAGGGGAGCTGTTCTCGCCGCAGCAGATCGAGGTATTGGACCGCCTGTTTGACAGACAGCCATCCTGTCCAATCCAATCCAGCTCTGACCTCTTTGTGAGCCCTGACTCTGGCAAGGTAAGGGCGAGGCATCGTGCAGGCTTTGGGCTGAGGCTGAGTTTGGGAATAGGTTAAGGGTTAAAAGTCTGTAGAGTGTTCCAATGGAAAGTAGGGCTGATGCAGAGGGAAAACTGTGCATGAAAAAGTTAGAGGCAGAGTCACAGAGGCGGCCACCATAAACTAAAGCCTAGGCACCTCATTGGCCAGCAGACACGGCACCACATCTTGGGTCACTGCCCCAGAGGGGACGTGCACACATCCACTTGTGCCGACCCTGCCGAGCTGCCTTGTGTTGAGTTCAGACAATTTTATAAACACACTTATGCAGCCAGATTTGTTTTCTTTTCATAGTGATGTTATATGATTCCTAATAGTTTACTTGTAAGCTTGGAGCTCATTTAGCACTCGTTGCTTGAGTCATTATATATATTTTTCATAGTGTGAACAAATCCCATAAAAAGACCTAAACCAACAGGAAACTGATCCTACTAACAAGTACTGCCTGTGTAGCCAAAGCTTGATTTAACTTATTCCTTTGTGCTTTAGACCAAATGTCCAAATTAATAAAAACACATCAGTGAGCCACACCATTTCACTGGGTGACATGTTCCTCCATTGTAATGGACAAGTGACATTTCCTGCTGTCATGGATACTCACCAGGAGACAAAACGTGTATTAAACCGCTGCTGAAAATAGTCCCCAACAAATGCACTCTTTTCTCCTGAGTGACTTTTGCTAAAAACTATAGTGTCAAACTATTTTAAGAATTTATGTAGCCTTTTGATTGGTAAAGATTTATGTGTTTAGTAGGATCACATAGTGTTTGGTTGTCAGTATATAAGTCAAAAAATATTGACAGATGTTCTAAGACATTGATGTTTTTTGTGTTTTCATGGGTTTTGTTGACAGTAACTTAAAATAAAATGATGCAAATCTTATCCTTTAAAGAGAGAGTTACCCAAAATAGGGACCTTCCAGCCAGAACAAGATGCCAATTCTTGAGGTGCCAAATATAGCCTGTACATCCATAACTGAAAAGTGAAACAAAGAAGATGTATTGAGCTCCCAAGGACAGATAAAAAAAATCATTCAAACATTAAAAGCTTCATTAAAACTACAGACCCACAGATATACAGCAGAATTGTCTACCATATTTGCAAGCTAACATTAGTGTGCTTGATCTAACTGCAATATGAAATGCTTGTCTCTGCTTTTAGCTAAAAGCCTGTCCTGCCTGCTATGCCTTGCCATGCCATGCCAATCCTGATGAAATGTGTCACATTGCACAACAAAATTATAATTTAAGGATTTCTAAAGCAATATGTGAGCAGTGCATTCATCCTAATAGATTGTTTTTACTTCCTTCATGTCTGTGGTTAACTGATTGATGTGAAAGTATCAGCATCAAGTTGTTAAACTGACAGACTGCTGTGTGTTTCTGTGCACTGATAGAGAATGTAATGGCTGCAACAGAGGCCCAGTCAGGCCTGGCCTATTGATGTTCCTATAATCTAGACGCACTGCAGGGGTTAATGAGCATATTGACCTGGCTCCTATTATGACCTCACTTCCTGCTGCTCAGGGACACCGATGGAGCTGTCCACATGCTGATGCATCCTGGGAATGTGCTGCATATGTGTGTGCTGTTTGAATGTGAGGGGGGAAAAGATTAGAAAACAAGAACGAGAAACGGCGTGTCTGTGTGTCTTAATGTTGCATCTAAATTGACCTCCCGCCCTTTCCCAGCAGTAAGTTAATATAAATCTGAGTGGAATTGAAAGGAGTAAGTAGCACGCTGCATAACAAAACGACAACAAGCGAGCATTTGTATTCTCTCTACCTTTTCTCAAATGTCTTCTAATCTGCAGCCGTCCAGTCAATATTAACGAAATGTTTTGCCAGCATCTCAAAATGACACTTCTGTTTCCACAACCTTTAAAGATAACCCTACTTTGGGTTTATTTATCCAGTCAATGTCAAGGGCAAGAGGACAAACACTTAATGGTGGAGCAGTAGTAAATGGAACCACAGATAGGCTACAGCCTTAGACCTATAGGGCAGAGTTTGGCTTTTTAGCCCATTCACTTCCCTCTGACCGACATGGAGAGTGGAGTGGCACAGGGCGAGAGGTCGACAGGGATTGGCTGTAGTAGCTCTATAGACTACGACTTGAGACTATAATACCCATGATTCATAGGTCAGTGTCCTCTCTGAGCCCGGTCAAGCCACTGGGGTTGGGGTCAGAGATGGGGGGCTTTAAACTCCGGGTCGCACAGGGGTCAAACTGGCTTTAGGAACTGCATTACAAAGAGATGCAAGCACACACGCACACTTTCTCTCTCTCTCTCTCTCACACACACACACACACACACACACACACACACACACACACACACACACACACACAAACATATACACACACTCATGTCACTATCTTTCCCTTTACCTCTGCTCCTTTCTCTCATCCTGTCTATAATCAACCACCGCCCCCCTTTTTCCCAGCCTGCATTTCCCAAAGGGAATGATTGACAGTCATACCCTTAACACTGACACACTGACAGCTACAGCTCTGCCTCTTTGGTATGTAGGCTGTCTAAGGTCTGTGAGCGTGTGCGTGTGTTTGTATGTGTGTGTGTGTGTGTGTGTGTGTGTGTATGTGTCTGTGTGTGTGCGAGTGTGAGAGGCGGTATTGTAGCGTTGTGGTCAAGGAGGGTCATGGTGTGTTGTGACTGACATTCCTAAAAGATGCCCGATAGACTTGGCCCTGCTCTTGCTGTTGCTGCCATTGCAGTGGGTGGGGGTTCTTTTGACGGCGTGTGAGATGAGTGTGAGTGTTATGTGGGTGTGTTAGTGAAAGAAAGAAAAAGGTAGAGAGAGCAACCAAGTAAGAGTGAAGCAGAGGTGCGAGTGGCTCGATTTCAGGTGCCAAAAGTATATTATAATGCTATACTAATATACTGTAATTTCAGCAGTTATTTCAAGCTCCTCATTATCTTTTAGCTTTCTTGCACTGAAACACGAGCCTCACTCATTATTTCTTCTTCCTTCATTCTACTTGAAGAGATAAAAAATAAAATTGCTCACATTCCTCACAAGCAAATCTTATTTTATCTGTCACCAGTAGTTACTCTTCTATCCTGTTTGTCTCAGACCTTCTCTTTATCTTTCATCCCTAACAAGCCATCCTTTTATCTCATCTCCCTCTCCTGCTCTTGTTCCCCCTCTCCCTGTAGTCTATTAAGCCCCACTATTAATTTGTGTGCGCGCGCTCATATGTGTGTCTGCATGTGTGCCTGTCAGAGAGAGTTCATTTGAATTTCCCTTCAATCACTTCCTATTACCCAGGTGATAAATCAGCAGGGCTGATGGAGCCCCCACCCATCCATGCTGCCCCGGGTCCAAATGCCCACCCCAGTACCAACCAGCTTGGCTTCACAGTGATATAGAAGTACAATGAGAACGTCATTCTCCCAATTGATAAAGCTTAAAAAGAAGCAGAGAGGTCAAAGGTGATCTCCTCCAAAGGATGGAGATGGTTAAACTGGTCAGATGGGGGTGACAGGCCAATAATGCACACTAGCACTCTTAATAACTGCCCTATAAACAGATTGTTACACCCTTCACTTCTGTCTGTATCATCAACCGGATGATAAAAACATGATTATTCAAGGAGAAGGTTGGTGTTATTGTAAATTTGTCTTATTGTTGACAGATGTCATGAAAAAAAACAAAATAATTCTAAATAATTCCCACTGAAGATGTTAGTTAAAAAATGGCTCTCAGATATGTAGTTTATTTATTTATTTTTTTCCTAAAACAGATGTGCACCGTAGTTTTTAGCAAACGTGACTAAAACAGTAGTAAATGGCGTACTCCTGGGGACTATTTTCAGCCGCGGATTACTACACAGTTAGTACTGTTTTAAGTATTTACTGCAGCTGGATGTTGTATGTGGGATTCATTCAAAATAAACTACAACACCAATGTTCATCGCAACACATGACCCAGTGCAACATTGTGGACAACAATCAAGCTCTAAGAACGAGCTACATCAAGGTGTGTTCAGACACACAAGCCATTTGTGTGAATTCGAGTGCTGGACCATTTTGGCTGGTTTTCATGAGATTTGTTGACAATAAGAAAAATATAGAATATCACTATTTTAATATCACCCTCATCTTGTCGGTTCTTTGTCAGTAGTATGTAATCACTACTCTGGGACCACAAAAGAGGTGTTAACCATCAATACAATAATATTTAAATTCAAAATTAAAATCAATAAAGTATTCATAGATTAGAAATGTTTTCAATTTCTCATTCAAAATGTATGAACTTTCACTGGCTCTCTCAGTTGAGGTCTGGTTCATCTGGAAATGAATATCCTCCCCACTGCGGCCACGCTCAGTTTGAGCGCAGATGAATTCCTTCCTCACAATCCCTGTCTCAGTTTGTGGGCCTCTGAGGGAATTGTATTTGTTTATAGCCGAGCCTTTTTCCATCAGGACTACACAAGACAATGTGGAGAGATGGAGAGAGAGTGGGAGATGGAGAAATCGGGAGCTATTTGGGGAATGGAGAAAACGGGAAATACTATTATGCAAATGGTGCAAGCCAACAGGGCCAATGTGTGTGTGTGTGTGTGTGTGTGTGTGTGTGTGTGTGTGTGTGTGTGTGTGTGTGTGTGTCAGAGGGCCGATTAGGGCTCATCTGTTATTGATGTGAGATTTGGACCAAACCATTACCTTCCCATATCTGAGTCAGTAGACCAAGCTCTGTCTGTGTGGGTGTGTGTGTGTGTGTGTGAGAGAGAGAGAAAGTGAGAGAGTGAGAGAGTGAGGAAAACAAAAGTAAAACTGCTATAAAGGACCTCACAGGTGTGTAGCCCTTTTCCATTAGCTTGTTAGCTTTAATGCTTTCTTGTTATTATTACAGATGCTCTTTACATACAGCAGCAGAGAGACTGGAAGGGAAAGTGTAGGGAAGCCGACTGTAATCAGGGAAGTTTGTATTTATATAT